TTGTCAAGTCCCAAGCAGGGTACCTGTGTATCACTGGTGGCTTTAGATTGGTTGCTCACCTGATGAACATGCGGTTTAGGGGGTGTTGTGAGAGGGACTCTGAGGTCCCGCAACCCAACACTGAAGCTATCGCTGCTACCTGCCTCCTTAAGGTGTTAGGGGTTAAACCTTTCTCCAGGCCTTCCTGGAGAAAATCCAGCACTTGAGTAATTAACACTGTGGTTGGATCTATTTGTTTCTTGGAACACCAGGTTCCAAATGCTCTCCAAGTAGCATCATAAATTCTGTTGGTTGATGGTCTCCTGGATGCCTGGAGTGTCTGTATTACCTTGTCTGGGTACTCTAAACGCTTTAGCATGGTTCTCTCAAGTGCCATATGGTTAGTTGCAGCCATTGTGGCTCTGGGTGCAATATGGCTCCCTGACTCAGTTCTACCTTGTCCGGGGGAATTCTCCATGGTCTTGATACTGACAGATCTACCAGATCTGCATACCAAGACATCCTGGGCCAGTGAAGTGCTACCATTAAGACCTCCACCCCCTCTTCTATCACTTTCTTGATTATCCTTGGTACCAAGGGGAGCGGGGGGAATGCGTAGAGCAAACCCCTTGGCCATGCTTCTCAGAGCGCATTGGTTCCTTCTGCTCCCTGTGTTGGGAATCTCAAGTAGAATCTTGGGAGTTGTGTATTTGCTGGCATCACAAACAAGTCCAGGACTGCTTTCCCGAATCTGTGCTATAGTTCCCTGAACAGGTCCGGGTGTAGGCGCCATCTGAGTGGTCAACCATTGTTCTGCTGAGCCAATCTGCCTGAACATTTTCCATTCCCGATATGTGTTCCACCCTGATCGATAGAAGGTGCGTCTCTGCCCAGAGGCCCAATCGCTCGGCTTCTTGCATGAGCGCTAGGGAGTGAGTACTGCCTGCCTGTTGATATGAGCCTTGGTGGTCACGTTGTCTGTCAGGATCAACACATGCTGTTCCACTATCACTGACCTGAAGGCCCTTAGAGCCAGGTGAGATACCCTGAGCTCCAACCAATTGATGTTGTTCTTGAGGTCTGACTGAGACCACTGACCTTGTGTAATCTGGCTCTGACAGTGGGCTCCCCAGCCTAATAAACTTGCATCTGTTGGGATAGTCAGTTGGGTGGGTTCCTTGAACCCACGTTCCCTTGTCACTGCGGGTGATCTCCACCACTGGAGTGACTACTTCATTCGGGGGGGGGGGGGCTCATATCGTAGTTCCTGTATTGCCCTTGCCTGCTCTCTGGTAAGGTAATAGGAACCACTGCAATGTCCTTGCGTGCAGCCTGGCCCAAGGTACTATCGAGATGCATGATATCATCTTCCCTAGTATTTGTGACAGCAAGTCCAGGGACACCCCGGAGCTGTGCTCACTTGATTTATCAATGACCTTATGCTGTCCTGCCTTTCCTGTGTCAGGTAAACCTCGCAGGAGTTGGTGTCTATTACAGCTCCTAAGTGTTGTAATTGCCTGGCGGTTCTAAGTGGCTCTTTTCAAAATTCACCGAAAAGCCATGCTCTTGTAATGTCTGTATCGTGGTTTGTAGATCGTTCTGTGCTCTTAGAGTCGGCATTGACTGTATTAATATGTCGTCTAAGTAGCACTGGACCCGTATGGGCTTTGTCCTGAGGAAGACTGCTACTGCTGCCAAGACCTTGGTGAAAGTCCTCGGCGCTGAGGCCAGGCCAAATGGTAGAGCCCTGTACTGGTAGTGTCTCCCTGCATAACAAAACAGCAGGAACTTCCGATGCCTCCTGGTAATAGGTATGTGTAGGTAAGCATCTGTGAGGTCTACTGATGTCAGGACATCCCCCTCCCGTATGCTCCCTAGTATAGCTTGCAGGGACTGCATCTTGAATCTCCTGTATACTATGTGCCTGTTTAGTAATTTGAGATCCAAAATTGGTCTTCAGCCCCCCCCCCCCCCCCCGATGCCTTCTGAACAACAAACAGGTTTGAATAGAACCCTTGTCCCTGTTCGTTCTCTGGTATCACTTGTACCACCTGAATGTCCAGCAGATGTTGAACTGCTGTTTCCATAATTACCCTTTTGGTTCTGTCCCTTGGTGTTGGGCATCTTCTGAATGAGCTCGGGGGTATGGAGATGAATTCCAGAACTAGGCCTTTTCTTAATGTGTCTAGGACCCACTTGTCTGTTGTGGTCGACACCCATCGGTTGGTGAATAGGCCCAGCCTCCCGTCAATAGGCGCATTGTTCCGGCTGTCACTTTGTATGCCAGAAGGCCCTACCAGTCAAACTCTGGAAGGGACGCCTTCCCTGGGACCGTTGTCCATCCCTATCTCTAAATCCTGACCTATCTGGATGTCTAGTAGGGGTCTGCGTGTATTGTCTCTGTGTGTATGGAGAGTGGCTGAAGCCACCCCCCAAGATAGGAAAGGGCTGTTGCCGTGTATATGGAGAAGGTCGCCTATCTGCCTGACCAAGTTTCCTGGATAAGATCTTCCTCTTGTCCTTGGTTTCAATCAGTAATGGCTCAATGGCCTCCCCAAAGAGTTTGTCCCCTTTAACTGGAGCTGATGCCAGTTTCCATTTATGTTTCAGATCTGCCTGCCAGTGGCAGAGCCAAACAAGTTGCCTTGCAGCCACTGAAGCTGCGATGGCCTTAGTTGTGTAGTTGACCCCATTAAGTGTGGCGTCTGCTATGAACTCTGTTGCAGCAGTTATTTTGTTCAAATCCTGTTGCAATCAAAGAACGCCAGGTGGCATCCTTTCCTGCATCTGTTCAATCCATATCAGGACTGCTCTGCTGAAAAATGCCATGGACGTTGCCTTTACCTCCTATACCACGGCCTGGTGAACTTTTTGTAGGGTTGTTCTGTTTTCTTATCCTCCCCTTTAGACCATCCTCAGCTTCATTAGCCAACACTGTAGCAGACGTGGAGGCTGCCACAGGGCTGTCTATCGTGGGAACTGGGAATAGGTCTGCTAGTTCCGCATTATAAAATTTCCTCTCATTCCCCCCTGGCATTGGGAAAATAACTGGTGTGTCCAACTGACCTTCCACCACTTCCCTGAACAATTCAGGTGAAGGTATGGATTCACTTTCAACCTTGGTTCTGGCAAAAAAATCTATCTTTGGGATCAGATGGTTGTAACTCAGACCCTTCTGTCCCTGTGATTCTCCCCAGGCCTGTTGCTATCTTAGCCTTCCCCAGCAGTATCTTAAACAGCTGGTGACAAAATAGACCTGTGAACATTGGAGTTTCCTGTTCATTAATTTCCTCATCTGAGAAAACTGACTCCTTATATTCTTCCTCTCTTGAAACAGAGGCCTCACTGTGAGCGTCTGATCTACTGGAACTGTCTCCCTGGAAGCCCAGTTCCTCCCTTACTCCTCCTGCTCGAGTAGAATGATGAGCATCCTGTCTCCTCTCATTATATACCAGGCTGGCTCTGTTACCCTGACTGTCCCTGAATTCTGCCATTTCTTTCATCATAGCCCTCATTTCCTCTTTAAAGGACTGTCTCCCTGACTTCCAACTCTGTGGAGGAAGAGCTAGACTCTGTAGAAAATCTCTTTCTCTTGGGGAGGGCTCTTCATTGCATGCCTAAGAGCACTGTCTTTCTGATTCACTCAATTCTTCGTTCACAGGCTAAAAAGGCTGATCTTCTAGTGTAGCGCTCCTTTCCTGATACTTCGCTTTCATTGGTTTGCCTGTTGGAGTGCGGGAATTTCCATTCTTCTCCGCCTCCTTTCCCGCCCTTGGGAAACATTTCTCAATGGCCCTTTGTCTCCTTAATGCCTCCCTCTCATCTGCCTTGGGCACCCTGCTGAGAGGCCTTTCTGAAGCTCTCCCAGACTCTCTGGGTTCCTTTGTGCTTTGCTCTCTGTTCAAACTGGGGGCAGGGGATTCCTGTTCCTCTAGGCTTGCCTCTGTTTCAGAAAATTCAGCCATAGTCTTTCCCTTTGGCTTTTGCTGATAGAGTATACTCAGACCTGCCTGAGCATGGACTCTAGCCTCCCTTTCCCCCAGGTAGGCTTGTATGGCTGTGATAGAAGCTTGCTCAGCCTAAGACTGAGTTTGCCTCCAATTAAAGAGAGCACTGGAGGCTTGTGCGGCTTCTGGTTTGTTTAACGAAGGCTCTGGGAAATCTGAGTTAATGTGCCCTCCTTCTTTGCTAGCCGATCAAGAGCCTGCCCACTCTTACTGAGGCTGCTGCCACTTATTCTCCTAACACCAAACAGCTATGTGGGCTTTCCCATCTTAGGATGAGGTTCCAGCTCTTTCGCTTACTCACAGTTTGCTGACTTTCACTCTTTCTCTTGTCTCTTTTTTTCTCAAAGAATCCAAAGCGTTGATCCTATATTTTCTATCTTTCTTTCTGAGCACTCTCTCTTCGTGTCCTCTTTGCATGAAGACGGAGTCAAAAACTGGGCATGTGCAGTGGAAAGGGGGCTGGACTAAACTTTGATTGACTCCGTCTTTAAGCAAGGAAGCAGGAGACATTTTGGATTCTCCGACCTGTACAACTGAGAGCACATTCTTTTTTCATTTTTTATCACACAAAAATGGCATGGCAATTATTTGTGCCACAGAGTACCCTTTTAAAAGTATTTCACTCAAGCTTAAAAATGCAAAGAACTAACAGCTCACATTAGATTTTAATTATTTTAGTAAAGCCTTTTACACTACTCAGATCCTAGATAAAGAGTGACATTAGGTCTGCCAAGGATTGGCAGATTGCCCTGTTGCCTTTTTTGCTTTTTCTCCAACAAACTAAATGTCATACTAAAATGAAAGTTTCAAAAGTAAATAAAAAATTGTAGAAAGGTCCACTATCATTTAGAACTATGCCCAGAGCTAGCTATAATTCCTTGGATCCTAACTCTGAGTACTCCTAAAACTTACAGTTTAGAGATTAATAATTCAATCACTATTATTATAAAGAAGGTAGGCCATAGAGATTGGAACTCTCTAGGAGGAAGTTTTGCTGTTTGACCACTATGTTACCTTGCAAAATATCTTTGCTATGTCAGTTTCCATTCTAGAAGTTATCTAAAACTGAATAAAGAGTAAATTAGAGCAAAATCAGACATGTATACTTATTAGTTATACTTACTACCCTGTTTCTCCAACAATATGGCCTCCCCCAATAGGAAGTCCCAGCATGTTTTATAGGCATGAAATGAAATTAAGCCCCTCCTCCCCAATTAAGGCCTATATTAAAACATGCAAAATGGGGGGAATGGTGGGGGGGCCTTGCCGTTAGGAAGTACTTTTGTTGCACACCTGGATATGATGCTGCCTGCGTTGACCCCGATACGAACTGCCCCACCAACACCGAGATCAATATCCAAACCATCACCGCCCGCCCGCCCGAAGATGCAAGGGGGGGAATTAAGTCACCCCCCCCCAAAAAAAGACGGCCTAGCCATTTTTTCAGGGCTCAAAAAAAAATAAGACCCGGCCTTATTATATGAGAAACACGGTAGTTATACTACATTATAACAATCCATTAAACATACTTTTATTCTTCTTAACAGTGCAGATAATCTGCAACCTACAGTCACAATTAGGACCACTAAGCAAGTCAGTTAAGTGAGCAGTGCCTAATTTTATTACTTTTTACCATGTTTAAGTGAACCACTACAGTTGTTAAATGAATCAAGCAGTTGTTAAGTATATCACTTCCACCATTAGCTTTGCTTGAAGGAAGCCAGCTGGGAAGATTGCAGATAATGATCAAATGTTCCCAAGATGTTGCAACTCTTCTAAATACATGCCAGTTGCCAAAACCCTGAATTTTGATCAAGTGACCCTAAGATGTTGCAGTGGTCATAAGTGTGAGTATGGATTATGTTGAGGTAATTCCCCGTTAGGAGAATGAGCACATACAGGGAGACATAGTGAGAGTAGTGAAAAATAACACACACAGCACACAGATACACTGTACAATAAATGTAGGTTTTTTTACTTCCAATAAATGTTTAAGCACAGTCCAAGATAAGCAGTCCAAGTCATTCACAGATAAAGCAGTCAGTGTTCAGTTCAGGAATAATCCAAATATCAAAGTCCAGTATCAAAAAACAGTTCAGTAACAGACTTACATCAACGATCAGTAACAGTCATTTAGGAGGAACGGCAACTGGGGACGAGCGGTCTGCCACCTCCAAGTGGTGTCCCCTGGATGCGCGAAGCCGTCAAACGCTGACCGTAACTGAGAGCAGACCCTCCGACGACAGGCCCACGCGACAGGCCGGCTGGAGTACTCAAATGCCGCATCAACATGGTGGAAACGCCCACTACAAAACACACGTCCAATGCTACCGCGTTCGGGGGAACCGACGGGCGCAGGAGACCATTGGCCTGCGCCAAAAATCAACGAAATGGTCCACGCGGAAAGCACGGCGCACCTGCACCGTGTGAGAAAGCTATGGCGGCTGCGTCCGGGTCCGATGCGCACGGAGACTATCCGATCCGTGTGAAAAAACGCAAGCGGGGAACAGAGGACTGCCAGACGCTCAAGGTGGCCACCTGGAACGTGGATTCGCTGACTGGACGCTCGACCGAGATCGTCAGGGCCATGCGGGACAGGAAGCTGGACATCTGCTGCCTCCAGGAAACTCGCTGGAAGGGCAACAAGGCTACGACTATAGACGGCTACAAGATCATATACACCAGCTGTAAGGAAAACCGCGGCGGTGTAGCTGTGGTTGTCAGTCCAAGCTGGCAAAGTTCCGTCGCAGAAGTTAAGCGCCTCACAGAACGACTGATGATAATCGTCGTAGCGATCGAGAGGCAGTGCCTACACATCTTGTCCGCCTACGCCCCTCAGACCAGATGTCACGAGGAGGAGAAGGATACCTTCTGGGAACTGCTCGACATCCAACTCAGGCAGATCCCACACGAAGACGACATCATCATCTCGGGCGACCTGAATGGTCACGTAGGACGGGACAAAAACGGACACCAGTGCCACGGTGGGCACGGCACAGGTGATACGAATGAGAGTGGCCAGAGGATCCTGGACTTTGCCGACTCCCATGATATGACCATCACGAATACCTGCTTCATTAGGCGAGAATCTCAACTCCTCACCTACCACAGCAGAAACGGGAGCCACCACACACAGATCGACTACATCATCGTACGACGAAGAGCCGCAAAAAACGTGCTCAACGCCAAGGTGTACCCGTACGAATCGAGCAGTCAGCACAGGCCGCTGATGGCGAAGATCAGGATCAGCAAGCCCAAGACCAAGATTGACAAAAGGAATGCAGATCAGCCACGAATCAAGTGGTGGAACCAGAAGAAGTTGGCGGGACCCCTCATCAAACCGGAGCAGTTCCTGCAGATGGTCGACGGGCCACAGGAAGCGTGGTCCATGCTGAAGAGCACTGTTCACACTGCCGGCTGCCAACAGCTTGGTTGCACCAAGCCAGGACGGAGACGCATCGAACGAGATACATGGCTCTGGACACCGGAAGTACAAGATGCTGTACACCTGAAGAAACAGCTTTACAAGGCCTTTCTTCAGGACAAGACCAGCGAGAAGCTCTGCGAATACAAGGCGGCCAAAAAGGCAGCCAAGAAAGCAGTAGCGACAGCCAGAAGCTCCCACTACGATGACATCTACGAGAAGCTGAACACGCGAGAAGGCGAGAATGAGATCTACCGCCTAGCTAAAAGCAGACACAGGAAGACCCTGGACATTGACCAGTTTCATGGGATCAACGACGAAAGGGGAAATTTGATCGTCAACCCCAGAGACGCTGCCGAGAGGTGGCGGCAATACTTCGAGAAGATCTCCACCGAGGAGTTCCCACACCCACGAACCCCGCGAGGTGACCCAGTTGAAGGCCCAGTCTCAGGCATTTATGCCAGCGAGGTCACCGACGCCATCAAGGCCATGAAAAACGGTAAGGCAACAGGACCAGACGACATCCCTGCCGACTTCTGGAAAAAGGCACTACCGGGCTCGGCATTGTGGCTGTGCGAGCTGTTCAACAACATCGTCTCCACGGGAAAAGCGCCACACGACTGGTACCGCAGCACTACTGTTCCGATCTGGAAGGGAAAGGGCAGCCCAGCGGACTGCTCCAACTACAGACCGGTCAGGTTACTGTCACACACTATGAAAATCTTCGAACGCGTCCTTGATAAGCGCATTCGGGACATCGTCGACATCAGCGTCAACCAGGCCGGATTCATCAAGAACTGCGGCACCACCGACGCCATCTTCGGTGTGCGGATGCTGATGGAGGCTCACAGAGAGAAGAAAATCCCGCTCCACACCGCCTTCCTGGACTTGGAAAAGGCCTTCGACCGAGTCCCGCACGATCTCATCTGGTACGCACTGCGAGATCACGGCGTGCCTGAGCTGCTCGTACAATGGGTCCAACTCCTATACAGATGTCACAAAAGCCGTGTAAAAGCGGCAGCTGGGATATCAGAGGAGTTTAATATCACCGTCGGCGTACACCAGGGCTCTGCTCTCTCACCACTGCTGTTCATTCTGGTGATGGACACAATTACACACGACCTGTACACGCCCGCCCCATGGACGCTGCTCTACGCCGATGATGTGTTCCCGGCCAACCTGTGCAAGGCTGAACTTGAGCACCTAGTCCAACAGTGGCACGACCGCCTCGAGCAGTTCGGGCTCCGGCTGAACCTAAAGAAGTCCGAATACCTGACCACTGACAATGAAATGACAGGCTCCATCCACGTGAACGGGCAGGAGCTACCGCGCGCCTCCACCTTCAAGTACCTGGGAACTACTCTTGGGGAAGAAGGCCTACTACAAACTGAGGTGGCAGCCAGGATCAACGCAGCGTGGGGCAAATGGAAGTCCGTCACGGGCGTCCTCTGTGACAAGAAGATGCCGATGCGCCTGAAGGCGAAAATCTATAACTCTGTGGTGCGCCCCGTGGCCATATACGGCGCAGAGTGCTGGCCGACGACCAAAGAAGTCGAAAGCAGACTCCAGATAATGGAGATGCGAATGCTCCGATGGTCGGTAGGCCTCACCCTACTCGATCGCGTTAAGAACGAAGAAGTGCGTAGACGGTTCAACGTCGTGCCCATCCCCACGGTCATGAGGCAGTCCCGGCTACGATGGTTCGGCCACGTGAGCCGCGCCAAGGAAGAATCCATCATCAAATCTGCAATGAAGGTGACTGTCGGAGGAGTGAGACCGCGTGGTAGACCTAAGCAACGCTGGATGGACACGATCAAGGCCGATCTAGAGATCGCGAAGGCAGACCCGACATACGTGGCAGACAGAGAGGTGTGGAAGCAGTACTCAAGGACATTAGCGGACCTCGCCCAAGCGCGAGACAAACGCTGAAGAAAAAGAAGAAGAAGAAGAAGAAGGAGGAACGGCAACTCTCTCCAACAGAAGAAACAGAGACTCACCGAGACTCTCTTCTGAGACTAAACAACCCAGGTTTCTGGCCATTTGCGGAACTACACCCAATTACAGTTTTATCATTTTCTTAAAGATATAGTATTAAAAGTATTAATACTTTTAATATATTAATATTAATATATTAATACATATTAAAATGTCTATCCTGGTTTATATATTTCCAACCCAAATAACTGTGAGGTGACTTACATTCCTAACAGATTACAAATAACTTTTTTTGGTTATATTGTAATTTTGAATGGTCACTAAACGAATGGCTGTAACTCGAGGATTACTGTATTTCTTGTACATTTTTAATGTTATGAGCAATTCACAACTTTTCCCCCCAAATTAAATCTACCCAGTGGGAAGATAGTAAGACAAGATGAGATGAGATTGGATGAGACAACCTTTATTGTCGTTTTTTTACTGTGAGCACACTGGCACACATTGAAAATGAAATTCTATTGACTGCTCTTAAAAGAAAGTATATATCTACCCATACACATACATAACACACATATATACATATACACATACATACATAACACAACCAGAAAATAAGCCCTAGCATGATTTTTGAGGGTGCTCATAATATAAGAAAATATTTATCTACCCATACACATATACATATATACATAACAGAACCAGAAAATAAGCCCTAGCATGATTTTTGAGGATCATCGTAATATAGCCCCTACCCCCAAAATAAGTCCCAGTTAGTTTGACAGTCAGATAGATGCATTTAGTACCATATTTTCCCCAAAATAAGACCTATTGTCCTATTGCATCTTTCGGAGCAAAAAATAATATAAGTCCCTGTCTTATTTTTGGAGAAATGGACACAAACACACACACACACACACACATACACACATTAATCACTGTCCATTTTGAATACACAGCACAAAGAAGAAATAGACCATTTACAAAGCTGATACTATATGGAACAAAACTGTGACTGAATCTAGATGTTCTGCTTCGGATACCATGAAGACCAAAGGTAAAAAGAACAGGTCATAAAGAACATGTGTAGCATCTCAGACAATACTGGATGGAAGGAAGCAAACTACCAATAATTTTTTCTGCCACCCTCCCCATTCTCTGCAGTAATGCTTCCAAACCAGACAGTAATGCAATATGATAGGATGCTCTTGATCATCCCTCTATAGAAAGTAGTAAGGACCAGGGAAGGAAGATGTACTTTTCTTATGTGACACAGAAAGTGCAGGTGCTGCTATGCCCACTTTACCAGAGTCCCACTGTTTAGCAACCAAGCAACTGATGGAGAAAGATTGTAAGCTGTGGATTTAGTTTACTATTGTTATAACTGGTTGCTGGATCTTCTTAGCTGTGGATGGCTAAAATCTTTTGATTCTGATTAAAAGAGGAAGCCAACATTTTGGAGCAAAGTATTAGAAACATATTTGAAAGGTCTCTAAATAAAACACGCCAATTTGGTCAGCTGTTCTCTGATAAAAAATCCTCTCAAATTACTTCTGAGATGCATACATGTGGAGAATGTTACCAAACTGCTGGAGCAACTTCACAAGAAGCTGAAAATGCAGAGAAGTTTATCACAGTTTTGGAAGAACCTTATATTAACTTTCACTACTATGGCTCAAATGTAAACCTCTCAACACAACTGAAAGAAGAACATGAAGAATAAAGACAAATTTGGGACTTTTTCTTTAAGGACATTAACAAGCTTGTGGATCTCATGATAAAAAGAAAGGCCTATAAGTCTTTGATAGAACTTCCAGAGAAGAAAAATATTTTACTCCCTAAAGATAAGCTGAAAATATTTTACTCCCTAAAGATAAGCTGAAATGAGTGATTTAACTTAATGAGCTAACTGGAATCAGGATGCATTTTTCTCTGCTTGATATATGCAACTGAAAGAAAGATTTAACTCAAAATCTGAAAATGTATTTGTTCATATATACTGCATAATGCTTAAGTAATTCTTAAAGTAGGCAAAGATGTTGAAAATATATTTGAGAGTACCCGTATTAAGAGAAAATTAAAGAAAATGATGTACCAATTTAAAGAAAAACTCTATATTAAAAGGAAAAAAATCTATAAGGGTAGTTTGGAGGGAGGGATCTAAACATAATATTCAAGTTTAAAGCCAGTATGTTAAGAAGTCAAATAAAAAGATGTATTAAAAAGTTTTTTAAAAAGTGGTTTTTTTAAGTTCAGTAGTTTGAAGGAAAGAAAAGGGTGGAAAAAGGATGTTTTTTTATCACTATTTTTCTGTAAGATCAAAGAATTTAAAAGTACAATAGTGACACTAAAAATAGTGACAATTCACAAAGATTACTAGGTGTAAATAGAAGATAAAGCAAGAATGGCTAAATTGATTATTTTATTCAAAGAGGAAAATATGTTCTTATTTGGATATCACTTCTAGAATTTGTGCTTGTGAAGAAAAAAAAATGAAACTTTGACCTTGATTTTGTTGTTTAGAAAGACTTGGTGTTATAGAAATAGCTAGTTATATATTAATGTATAAAAGCAAAAAGTTGAGGCTAGGGTGTGTTATCTTATACTGTGCTAAGAGTTGGAAGTCAATTCCCCCTTTTCTTTCCTTTTTGTCTTCTCGTATCTCACACCCCATTTTCCCCATTTTCTTTTTCCCTCTTTTTTTTTCTTTTCTTCTTTGTATTTTATACAGTAAAAATAAAAATGATAAAGAAAGAATATAATTATGAGAAATCTTGCAATTTCTGATCATACAATGAAAGATCCTAAAATATGACTTTTGGTATAAAAAGAAACATCAGAAATATCTCACATTATATAAGTATTCTAATTTATTTATTTTTTGCTGTAAAGAAAAGCAACCACTCTGATTTGTAAAGCATTTTGCATACTCTACCTGTAACTCTGGTTTACTTAGTAAAACATGTTTAAGGAAATCATGATGGAAGACAATAAAGGCACTTATAATAAACCATTAACCATGATTTCCAAACCTTAATGGCTAGATTGACATAACATGTTCCACCAAAATTAGACATACTCCAATATGACCCTATATGAGAAAAGTGTCCATGCTTGGCCTGTGCAACCCAGTTAAGTATAAGTAAATTGCAAACTATAGTAATGATATTTTAATGAATTAAGATGTTCATTTATTATCTAACAAGAATTATTTTCTTCTGAAGTAATGTTTGCATGAATTTACATGGACTGTTTATTAAATCACTTCCGTAAAACAGCTTTGGTTTCTAATACAGCATTACAGCTTTTGGGTGGATCAGAATGTGGCACTGGGTGTGAAAGGCCACTAAGTTATATAATTTTCAGGAGTCTGGAAATCATTAACACCAAATACTATATTATAATTCAGTGAGGTACTAAGTGCATTTTCTGAAACTGAAGTGTGTGAGTGTGCTTGTGTATGTGAAAATTAACTAGATTCACTTTAAGAGTCAAATTTTAATTTTAATCCAGGGTCTTCTATATGTGGTACATTGGCATAGATGACTAATAAATTTTTCAAATAAATACTCCAACTATGTTGAACAGTACTCGTTATTTAATCTATTGTCTTACCTAGCCAACAGTTTGCATTTGGATAAAGGCAGTTGTAAAATGTAGCTAATCTTGCACTATAATCAAGTTATGCCAATGCTGCCTTTGTTGAAGGAAGATGTTGACACAGCTATTATTTCAAAGATAAAGAAAATCAACATTGTATTACAAATGGAGAATTTAACCCAGCTATTCAAAAGTAACTTTTAACTCGAAGTTTTATTTATTACAATGTTCAGTAAAGAGAGAGTTAAACTGAATGGTAATTCCAATTTTAAAGTATAGTCAGACTACCTATCACAAGTCAATAAAGATCTTTGCTATGGTGACTAAGATAACTTGAGGGCATCCAAGTGGAAGCAATGATCTGTCTTAATATAAAGTGTCTATCTGAAAACTATGTCTACCCTGATTGTATCACAAAATCTATTCTATTAATAGAAAGCACTGCATAGAATATCATTCCCATGTTCTCAGGCCCTTTACATGCTATAAAGTAGTAATATTTGTTTATTATAAACTAGACCCAACATTTTTTTTCTTCTGTTCAATAATGTCGAATTTCAAGGACTGCCTGGACAAGTTCTTGCAGCTTTTTGTACAAGATTTTTCAGAAGTAGTTTGGTATTCCTTCCTAGAGTTGAGAAAAAAGTGATAAGCCTAAACTTATCAAGATAGCTTTGTGTCCAAATGGGACTAGAATTAAGTATCACCTGGTTTCCAGCCTGATGCCTTAATCACTGTAACAGAAGAAAACAAATTGCATCCAATGCAGAATTAATTAGATAAACTATTTGAGCCAAGGAATCCATTCATCTCACATCTCATCAGAACAAAGCCATTCATCTTCCTTCTTTTCTTTTTGCTTTGTTGGAGCAGACCAAACAAGTTTTCCAAGAGACATCATACTACATCAGCTTATGATATCAGTGGTTCCTGGCAAACAGAGATCCTCTTGATTCTATTGAGACTCTATCAAGTATAACCTGATAGCAAGCATTAGAGAAGGCTCATTCAGTTTGAGTCCAGGACACAGTAAAATAGAAGGGGGGGGGGGAGCTGCCAGGTTGAAAATAAGCCTTTTTAAATCCAGAAATGCATCCAGCATACCCTGCTAATTTACTTATTGTTAAAAAAGAAACCTGAACTTTCAGACAATCCACTGGAGTAAGAGTAGGAATTGTATCAAAATCTATTCTGTTACCCAAGTTTAATTCTTTAGGGTTTTTTTTTCCAGGATTTGTTCCATTGAACAAGGAGCAATAACTCATTATACTTCCTTAATAATGTCTGTTTAGAGCAACTGGATAGAGATCTACAAATTAAATCTTTCTTCAACTACAGAATGGTAATGGAATTCAGAGTTGAATTTTTTAAAAAAGTGGAGACCACACAACAGTTGGTTCTGCACAACATCCCTGTGGTTAACTACAATTTGCTTGATTAAACCAATTTCTGAGAGAGGCCAATATTTTTTTCATTTATTTTATTATTTATACGTATATACATACATGCATAGAAACTAGGAATATAATTCTGCTCAAAGTAAATATTTTTACTCTCAAGTGATTCAAAACGGAACACATAACCTACTGAAATGCTTGTTGTTAAAATGGATGGCACTTAAGTGTGTTTAATTCCACTGGATTGTGTCAAAGCATTTTATACATCTTGTAGGTGCAAATGACTTCTCAATCCACTTGTTTTATGACATTCAGGACAGACAAAGTGATAACGTATGAACAGATGGAATAATAACTTTCTTAAAAAGGAAAGTGTCAAACCAGAATTATTTGTAGAAACACATCAACTATGCAAAAATTCTTTTCTTATCGCTACTGCTATCGGCGGCAACATTGACAGAAATTACAAACAAGATTAAACCGAACATTTACTTCTTCGCTAACAAAAGCAGGATTGCGAATCAGCCGCGCGGAAAAGCTCATCTATCCTACTAGCTTCTCACGTACTGCTTGTGCAAGATGAAATATGCGAGTTGAGGGCAAAAGCACTACAGAAATTTTACCTTTCAGCCTCAGCTCCCCACTGGAGCGCGCTCGTTCGCTGACTCGCCAGACCGTCCAGCAAAGCAAAAGGCGCCCTACGGGAAAGTGGCTGAAGAAGCTTCAGAAATAAAGCCCACTCAAGAAAGGAAGCCTTCTTGGGCCTTCGCTCTCTTCAAAATGGTCCAATACAAAGCAGAAGTTCTGCGAAAGCTCTCTCTCTCTCTCTCTCTCTCTCTCTTTCTCTCCCTTCCTCCCTCCCCGGTCAAAGAACAAATTCCTTCGCTGCCTGGAAATCCAGCAAGCAGGTGGCTCCCTCTGGCTTTCGAGGCAGCAGATGGCTTCCGCGTTCCACCCCCAGACTTCCTGCCTGTTGGCTCGCCTTTCTCTTCTGAGTTTTCAAAGACGAAGGAGAAAACATGGTGATCATCCTGTATCTTTGAAAGGCTGGTGGACCTCGTTTCTGCAAAGAAAGAGTAAAAGGGGGCCCTTTACTTTCCAGCACCTGAAGGACAGCTGAATTCCTTGGATGGGTGATTAATAGGATATACCAATAGAGATAAGAGAACCCCAGCCAAGAACTCTCTCAATTCTTCCTCTCCGGACTTTGTGAACACCTGAAAAGAAGGGAGGGGTTGAGACCAGGGGCTACTCCGCTGCTCCTGCCCAAGAGCATAGCAACAGGCAAGAGGAATGAACTTGCAGGAAAAAAAAATGCGTGCACTGAAAAATGTGCAAGGAGGATTTTATTTTGCCTATGCATAGTAGCCCTATGTTGTAGAAATGCTTTTTCATTCCTCAACCTGTGGAATTCTACAGAGGTCCCCCTAGTCATCTGAACCTGCAAAGGAAGATAAAGCATTTCTAGTATGGACCATGAGGAAGAATCAGAGAATATTATTCTGATATTAATTGGTGATACTATTCACAAATGAACTACTAGCAAAATAAAGTCAAGATTCCTTCAAATTGAGTTAAATTACTACAAATCTTTTTGATTATGTGCCCTCAGGTCATTTTCTACTCCTAGTGATTGCATCCATATAATTTGCCTGGCAACAAGAAATATAATGGTGGATTGCTAATGCTTTCTTCTTTAATTTTGTTATGAATATTTCCTTATCTAATATCTACTCCTGGGATTTCTTGGTGGCCTTCTTTTCAAATAGTTTTTACAGCCAACCCTGAATAGCTTTCTGAAATTGGTGATGGTTGGGCAAAGTGGGTATGTGAGTACCACATATTCTCAATTGACCAGACAATCCCATTGTTCATATCGAGGATGTGTGTGCATCGCAAATTAAAATGCTGTTGTCTGATTCATTACTCAGTGGCAGTATTCCCACAACACATTAAACTCAATAGATGTTATTCCCAAATAATTATTATATGCTCTGACCAAAGATATTTTTAAAATGCTAAAATATCCAAGATATTGATGCTTTGAGCCATTCCAGGCATCAGTTTTGATTTGTTAACAAAATGTTATTTGATGATTTCTATGTTAATTAATCATTTCCAACAGAATGGTTTTTCAGACTCTATTCCTTATAAAAGGAAAAACATTTTCCTTTGAAATGCAGAATATTTACTAGAATTCTTTCACTATCTTATACAATATACTGAAATAGGTTGATATTTATAGGAAAAATTTCTCAATTGCATATTTCGTTTCCATCTGAAATCAGAACAAATATTACATAGTCTTCTTTCCCCCACATTTCTTGTCGCTAGAAAGTTTATTATTCAGCAAGGTTCCAGTATTCCTTTGTATACATTTTTAAGGTTGATCTTTCAATAGCCTCCCTGCTCATTCTCCCCCCTCCTCACATACACACCAGGGGGAGAGAGAGAGATCTGAATACAAGTTCATCATTTGGTCATTGTCACTTGGAAAGGCTTGAACAGAAGTTTAGTGCTCTCTTCTATGTCAGCAGGACACATACAGGGATGGGTGGGAGAAGGCAGAGAGGGAGATCAGACAAGGTAAAAACTATTTGTCTGACATTATCTACAAACTCTAGAGCTATAGCCATTTCTAACTGTAGTACAAAGATTACAATGTAGATATAAAGGGAAAAAAAACCTCAGATGTATTCCAAATGTGGTGTAAATGCTGGTATCCCAGAAGTTCCCCCATCCTTTGAAAATAAGTACTGTCATTACCAGGCCAATTGATTTATATCAAGTTGCCGTTAAAGGCACATTGTTGGGATTCATTCAACCTATCTGAACAAACTAATCATTCTGGGTGGGTTCTCAACAAACCTCTGGGCCACAAACCAGCCACAGACATCTTAGTTTCACTTTCTCTCTTTGCAGCAGAAACTTCCAAATGGAAATTACACCATACTCTATTTCCCAAGTGCCCAGGTTCAAGTAGAATAGCTGTTTCTCGCATTCAGTCAATCATGTTTTTACCCAGTGCTTCTTGACAAAAACATTTACCAATAGATTTACACTAAAAAAACCCAAAAGTTTTGTTTACCACAAAGCTGTTTCACCAGCTGTTTCACCTCCCAACAGCACATTTCCCCGTTGTAATGATAATTTTGCCAACAAACAAACAAAACAAGGAACAGAGGAAATGAACTGATGTGATTTTCAATTAATAGCTTCTGCTTTTCATTTACAGTTTGTTTGCTTTGCATTTTACTCCAGATAGTTGCTGAAATTGATTAGGAACTAGTTTGAAAGGATTTAAATAAGGTTAGGCATAAGACAAAATTATGAGATTAAAATCAACAACACATGCTTATATCCCAGCAAAGCTAAGTATAAAATAAGGCAACCACTGCTAGATCACTACATCTGGCAGAATATAATTGTTTCCTTTAGTGATAAGCCAATTGCCCTAAAATGGAAGATTGATTCTTGCTTATGTTTTCCAGCAATAGATATCTAGAAGTAAATTGCCTCAAATGTTACAGATAGTTTATAGCTATAATGCCTATTAGCCAAAAGTAGTAAGAATTCATTTGTTTATGGCTTGTTAGATAAACCTGAATTAATATATTAAACCATATACAATCTACAATTGTTAATGTTATATTCTAAACTAAACCCAGACCTATCAATCTACATTACACTTCAGTGTACTTTGTAAAGTTTACTTTACTACTTCCAGCAATGGATGAACTTTGTTGTAGATCGAAGGGAAGGAGAGGCTTAGACCAGGGCATGCAGTTAACAACTTTATTTAAGGAACGGTGGTTGTCGCGTCTGCCAACCAACGGGCAGACTAGCGTGCGAGCAACGGCTGGCTTGGCTTGACAGCCGGCTTTATATAGCCGGCTGTCAAACGGCGCCAGCCAATAGGAGCGGTCGGTGATCCTGCTTAAAAAGCGGACCCGGTTGGAACCCCAACCGGTTCCCAAGACATAACACCCCTTCCCCCTAGATGGGAACACATATAGTCTTTGAGATACGCCGGTGGTCTGTGTTGGCGACCAGAGCGACGTAACTCAGGGGAGTCATTGGGCGAAGACAAGTTCGCGGACCCCTGGTCAGGGTACGTAGGGGGGCGAACTGGGCTCGGTGCAGGAACTGGAACCAGGGAAAAGTCTCTGCCTTCGCTGGGGATAAACGGTGGCGCTCCCGGCTGGCAGTCCCGGTCTACTGCCTGCTCCCTCAGCTCCGTTGGAGATGGTTGGTCACTCTGGGGATCCTCAGCTGGACCTTGGTGTGTAGCCCGCGGCTCATCTGGTGGAGACGGGTCTGGGCCGGTCAGGCTGCTCCGTCGTCTCCGCAGCTGGTCCAGGTGCCTTCGCCACACACGACCGTCTTCAAGTTGGACCCGATAAGATCTCGGACCTGTGACAGCCACGACCTTCCCGGCCACCCACAGTGGGTCCCCCGCGTAGTTCCTAGCAAACACTAGGTCCTGAATTGCGAAATTCCTGGCCAGACTGTCAGACCCCAAAGGGGTGTCTGGACAGTAGTGGGGGTGCAGCCTATCTAAGGTAGTCCTCAGGCGTCTCCCCATCAACAGCTCGGCCGGGGATTTGTTCGTAACTGTGCACGGTGTGGTATGCTGGCTTAGGAGGAAATGAGACAGTTTAGACTGCCAATCCACTTGGCCGAACCTGGCTAACGCCTCCTTGGCTGATCTGACTGCCCGTTCAGCCAACCCGTTGCTAGCGGGGTGGAAGGGGGCCGTGAGGACGTGTCTGATGCCTAGATTGGTGACATACCTGCTAAACTCGTTCGAGGTGAACTGGGGGCCATTATCAGAAACCAGTGTGTCAGGAAGTCCATGAGTTACGAAAAGGCGAGTCAGGGCTTTAGCAACTGCCTGGGTGGTGGTCGTGGGAAGTAAGGCCACATCTATCCATTTTGAATATGCATCCACGACCACCAAGAAGGTCTTGCCGTGCAACGGCCCGGCCAGGTCGATGTGAAGCCGTGACCACGGGGCATTGGCACTTTCCCACTTTGTGGGTGTGGCTGTTGGCGGGGCTGCCCTAGATTCCTGACAGGGTCGACACGAGCTTACCCACTTGGCGATCTGATCGTCCATCCCGGGCCACCAGATGTAACTTCGAGCCAACGCCTTCATCCGCACGATACCTGGATGGCCCTCGTGCAGCATCTTCAGGACGGGTATGCGAAGGGTGCTTGGTATGACCACTCTGGTACCCCACAATAGGCATCCCTGCAACTTAGAGAGCTCTAGCTGGCGAGTTTTAAATGGGGTGAAATCAACTGGATAGTTAGTTTCCGGCCACCCCCTCCCTACCCAGTCCAGAACCTGGGCGATTGTTCTGTCCTTCTTGGAATGTGCCGCGATGTCGTCTGCAGTCACCGGCAGCTTGAGTTCGTTTACATCGAAAATGGCATGCACAGGAGCTGGGTCCTCGACTGGGGCTGGCAAGGGGCAGCGGCTGAGGGCATCAGCGTGGTTTAGATTTTTACCGGGACGATAGACCAGTCTGTACGAGTAAGCCGCCAGGAATAAGGTCCATCTGGTCATTCTGGGCGACAATATCTGTGGGGTTTGCTTTTCCCCTGATAATAATCCTAAAAGCAGCTTGTGATCAGT